CGAGGCCCGTCCCCGCCACTCTGCCGCCTCCGCTGATTTTCGAGCATCGTTTTTTCTGCTTCTGTCTGGGGCGGGGGCTCGAGGATTCAGGGCTGAGGAATCTCAGATCTTGTGTCGTCTTGCTCGCCTTCGCTCGTCCCTCGGGACCCACGGTCGAGGTTTGTGAGCTGGCCTTCCGGAGGCACGCCCAGAGGCCCGCGGGGGACTTTGGAGACCTCCCGAGTGCCTCCAGAGGCCTCCAGAGGCAAATGACGTCGGCGCCGTTGCCGTCGTCAACGTGGTCACCCTCGTCATCGGCGTCTATTCCACGCCCCGCCCCCCCCTCCACGCAGTCTCCTCGTCGATCTCGCGATCGTCGTCGGCCGCAACCAGAACAGGACCCTCCCCTTCCTCCTCCTCATTCTCCTCCTCCTCCTCCTCCTCCTCCTCCTGCGCACCCAGTGCCAGCTTTGTATTTGTCTCTTGCGACATGCAGTTAACATCATCCAGAGGCCACGGCCTCACCCAACTTATCTTAGCGAGGCCAGGGCGCTTGTCCGCAGTGGTGGTCGTTCGGTCGGTCGTTCGTTCGTTCGTCCTCAACACCCTACGGAGGTGTGTGGACTCGTTGCCAGTCTTCGCTGCTTTCCCTAGCCCCACCCCCTCCTCTCCTCATCCTCCTCCTCCACTCCTCCTCCTCCTCCTCCTCTCCTCTCCTCATCCTCCACTCCTCCTCCTCCTATACCCTCCCCCTCTCCCCTCCCCCTCCCCCATCCCCTTCTCTTCCGCTCCCCCTCCCCCTCCCCCCCTCCCCCCTGCCTCCTCGGAGGCAGGCCAATCCAGCATCCAGCACCCCCCCCCTCCCCCTACCCCTCCCCTCTCCCCTCCCTGCCTCGCTCCCCGGCGACGATGGCGGCGGGCACTCCTGAGGTGATCCTCGAGCAGCAGGCGGACGTGCGCAGGCAGCAGTGGGCCAGCCTGCGCGACGAGCTGCTCCTTGTGCAGACGCTCTGGGACAGCCAGGCGCTCCGCCTCCCGTCGATCCTCCGGCGATTTCTCGCTCCTGGTCTCCGACTCTTCGCACCGAAACTTAAGGCCGCTCAGACAACGGGGGCAACTCGGGGATACACCCACGGGGGGCTAATCGGACGCACCCTATCGAGGACAGACGCCCCACCTCGATGCCTGAGGTTTGACCTCGCAGGGCCGCCTACGATCCAATTCGATCCGAGTCGATTCGCTGTCGGGGGCCGCGATGGCGATTCGGTTTGATTCACCGGCCTCGGCCGTGGCCAGCCAGATCCCCTCGAGGGACGACGCACGACGATCATGACCAAGATGTCGCGGAATCGTGTCGATGCCGATTTTGGTCATGGTCCGTGCCCGCCGTCGCAGATTCGCGAGAATGATTCACAAGTTGGCGATAACCGACATGGATGATGACCAAGATCGGCACCGACGTTTCCGCGTTCAGTCTTGGTCATGGTAATCGTTTTCGTTCCCTCCAGCCCCCCTCGATCCCCGAGGTTTGCTCTCACAGTTGCAATTCCGATTCGGTTCGAATCGGTTCGACTCACTGGCATCGGCTGTGGCCAGCCAGAGCTGGGCGCGGCGATTCGATTCCGATTCGGTTCGGGACGATTCGTTGGCGATCCGATCCGTTTCCGAGCACTCTGATTTCGCGATTCGATATCCAGCTCAGGCCTGCCAGGCGCTCCTCGATGTCGCTACAGTGATGTCGCTGAACTACGGACCGCTTTGGGCTCAGGAGCGGCTCTGGTTTTCGGGCCGTTCCCCAGATCCACGGTTGGCGTTGCAAAGATCGCGCGCGATGTGGCGGCGCTGCCCGCTTATCACAGGCCATCTCTCACCTTGGGGCGAGCGTCACCGAAGAAGCCCTGGCAGGGGGATAGTGCGCACAGAATAGGGGGCCACATGCGAACCCTACCCCTACCCCCCACGATTTCTGAGGGGGATGGTGGGGTTCACTTCGCTCGGGAGCTCCCGAACGCAGTGAACCCCACCCTCCCCCTCAGAAATCGCGGGGGGTAGGGGTAGGGTTCGCACGTGGCCCCCCACAGAAGGGGCCCTCGCGGGGGGATCGCCTCACAGAGATAGCGTGCTTTTCGGAGATCGACGCTGCACGCTATCTTCCCAGTGCCAACTGATGGTTGTGGAAGCCATCTGTGGCCGCGGCTCGCCCGGGAGGAGGAGGAGGAGGAGGAGGAGGAGGAGGAGGAGGAGGAGGAGGAGGAGGAGGAGGAGGAGGAGGAGGCCACGATGTTTGCATGGCCGATGCATGGTCTCCTGACGCCTCTGCCATTCGCCCCCCTCCCCTCCCCTCCCTTGGCGGCGGCCGAGGGCTCTGAACTTGCTGGGGCCGAAGAGCATCGGTCAGGAGGGGGGAGTGTCCGTTCAAGGTGGTCCCCGGACCCCTCCGGAGGTCCGTCTGGTGCAGCTTTTCACCCCGGATCCGTTTCGGACGGCCCGGGGGCCCGAAAACCGCCCCCGCAGACCGAAG